ACGTGGAGACTCGCACGCTGTATAGCAACAGTCAGCCAGGCATTGGCCAGGTATGAGGCTGGAGGATCTGGATCAGGGGGTAGGTGCAGTGCATACCTAACCCATCCAGGACAGAGACTTACAAGAGGAAGGACAGGCCGCACATTCATAGACGCAAACAGACAGAAGATATGCACAGTGTGCATGTTAACAAACAAGAAGTTCCAGTGATGCCACCTAGAACAGAGAGATTCAGAGCTGGAAAACTGTGCACAGGAAACCAGGCCAAGTGTCCACTGCAGGATGTGCTGAGGTGCTCTAGCAGCCAGGCCAACACTGCCTCAGTCTCGTCTGAGGGAGGGCAGAGCCGCAGCAGGGTCGGTGTGCAGACATCACAAACCTGGTTTGGCTGTTAATTACAGGAACCCAGAAGAGAGAACCAAAACCCCAGAGGCCCCTATTATCATCTACCCTGTAGCCACCAGAGTGGCTCACTGCATCCTTCACGTTCCTCAAGCTGATACCACATTCTAGACAAAGTTTTTTGCCAAGCATTTTTTTAAAATGTTTTTAAAAAACATTCTTATTAAAACTATTCTCTTAAAAATATTAAGTCAAGTTCAAAAAATAAAAATTAGGTCAGACAATTTGAAAGACTATATTTAACTTTCTTCCAGGGTGGGCAGTTTCTCCCTTTTCAGTTTTTCTCACCAGTTTCACCCTTCTCTTGGACCTCTGTGCTTTGTGAATAGCTTTATATCCTTAGAATATGGTTACATACCCGAAAACAATCTGGAGATCTGGACTGGCCATCTATATTACTGGTTAATAAATGAAACCCCAACCCCATTCTGGAGCCTTCCAGGAGCTCCTAAGCATCATCATCTAAATGGCATTAACTCTCCAGATCTCAGCCACAAGTGACACCCCAGCCCCGTGACTGTCACCTCAAAGCCATCACACCACCAACCTGACTGCACTGTTCTCCCTGTCTAAGGTCGTTCCACCTCAGATACTGTACCCCACCTTCTCAGTGCTGGGAGCAGGACCTCGGCAGAACTAAGCCGAGGCTCCCCAGGCCAGCACACTGAGGACAGAGGCTAGCAAACCCCAGCCAGTTAACTCATCTCTGCTTTAGGGCAAGGTACAACTGTGGGTGGACATCTTCCCCAAGAAACTGGGTCCTCCTGGCCCACCAGTCAACATCAGACCAAGGAAGCCTAGAAGGTGAGTGTGGGTGCACCTCCCGGGACAGCCTTCCCAGGGGCGGAGCACCAGTGTTCTCAGTAAGGAGCAGCAGGCATGCTTTCTTCTGCTGAGAATCTAGGGGGGCTTTCTTCCTGAGTCTGGCCAGTGCAGCATGAGTGTGGGCATGGAGGGCAGCCACCCAGGCCTCTCTCCCTTACCAAGGCTGCGGCTGGGGAGCAAGTCCTCGGCGGCAAAGCCTTAGAGAGCCATGGCCGCAGGTATGAGCTGCGTTGCATTATCTGGAAAACTGCCAACATGGACCTGAAGAATGTCAGTTTAAGTAACGAGAAGATGAGCGACATCTTCATCAAAGGGTAAGGCACAGGAGCAGGGCTCTAGAAGAGTTCCCTGAGTTCCCCAGTTCTAGCTTCCCTGCATATCTTTCTCATCCTGGGGTGACATCTCTCCACATCCACTGCACCTGGTGTCTGCTGGGCAGCCCTTCCCACAGGACTCCAGCTCAGGGATGGGGGCAGTGCACATGAACCCCAGGTGAAAGGACTCTGACCCCAGGTGGTTATTCGGGCTAGAGAAGGACATGCAGAAGACAGATATCCACTACCACTCCCTGACTGGGGAGAGCAGCTTTAACTGGCGATTCATCTTCACCTTGGATTACCTGGCAGCTGAGCAAGTGTGCGTCCTGAGCCAGAAGGTAATGGGCCCGGAGGTGGACTTCTCTTCCTGCCCTCCCTTCAGAGACTTGCAAGCTACACCAGAACACGTGGAATGAGGCCTCAGGCAGAAACCCTCTTTCTTGACAGTCCATTATGCTGGGTAATGGGCTCCTAAGATGACCAAAGGGATTCTCAAAGGAGAGTAGCAGTAACAAGCTCTCCTGCCATCCTGCAGGACTACATATGGAGCCTGGATCCCACAGTGATGAAGTTTCCAGCCCGACTCATCATCCAGGTCTGGGACAATAACGTCTTCTCCACTGATGACTTCCTAGGTGAGATTCTGGCATAGGGCCTACAACCTCAGGACAGGCAGCTCCTTGCTGACAGCATTTCTCTGTGCTCAGGGGTCCTGGAGCTGGATCTGTCTGACATGCCCTTCCCAGCCCAACATGCAAAGATGTGTTCCATCAGGATGATGGACGCCGACCCCAAGTGGCCCCACTTCCTCCAGCACAAGCACTTCTCCCTCTTTCAGAAGAAGACTGTAACCGGCTGGTGGCCTTGCCAAGTCCTCGAGAATGGCAGATGGCGCTTATCGGTAGGAGCTGGGGAAGGTGCTCCTGCACAAGACTGCTGAGCCCCATCACTTGGCTCTAACAGACCCCTGGGGACCTTAGCTAAATCCCCTTTCCTTTGTGGATCCTGAGAAGAGGCTCCTGCTATCATAACTCAGCCTCTTACCCTCTGTGGTGTTTCTAGGGTAAAGTGAAGATGACACTGGAGATTCTGTCGGAAAAGGAAGCCTTGATCAGGCCAGCAGGACGAGGCCAGTCAGAACCCAACCAATTCCCTACACTTCACCCTCCCCTGTAAGAGTCCTGTGGGGGTGCAAGCACCAAATCTTTCTTCCTTATTCATAAAGTTGAGCTGCTGAGCCTGGCAATTTGTCCAGGATGGTGCCCAGTGAGCCTACAAGTGGAGGGGTAATTACTTCCCACCACCTCAGCTTCAATGCTCAGTCACAATCAGGAGAGAACAGCCATGGGAGGTGGGGAATGGGGCAGAAGCTGCTTTTAAAAAAGAAAGGTCTTTGCTCTGGAAAAGCTGACCTGAAGGTCCCCTTTGCCTTCCATTCTCTGACATCAACTCTGCTCATGGACAGACGCAGCAACACCTTGCTCTCATGGTTTCAGTCACCTGTTAAAAACTTCTGCCATGCTTTATGGAAACGCTACCGCTTCAAAATCATAGTCGGCTCAATCATACTGATTGTTGGGTTTATGCTGTTTAGCTTCATGTATTCAGCTCCGGTGAGTGACGACCATGGGGACAGGGACAAAGGCACTAGTTGCTCATGGGCTGCCTCTGGAGAGAGGGAGCCTTCTGGTTGCTACCTCTGTTTGTTGCCTGTTCTCTCTAGAACTATTTGGCCATGAGCTGGATCAAGCCTGCACTTCGGATGAATATGCCCATTAAAATATTCACCAATATCATCAATTCACCGAACACCAGCAATGCCAGCTCTTCCGACATCACCACCCAGCGTCCTAACCTAGAGCCTACAACAGGCCATCAGCTGAAACTCCTGAGGGGACCCATGAATCACCTGCAAGATATTTTCCCAGAACTTCCAGCCCCACAAGACTAATTTGCCCATATTTGGCTTTTCTTTGCCCACTGTCAGCCCTACCCTGGAGCTTCCTGCCAATTCCTTGTTTCTATCTTCTAAGGTAGCAAGGGGCTAGTGATATTCTGGCTAGTCTGTTCAGAAGCCACTTCCAGCAAGAAAGGCAAAGCTATAATTTTCCACTAAAATAAACAAGTTTTGTAACAAAGAACACTGTGTATGGTCAGACAGGACACACCACATAACGGTTAGACTGCTTCCTGTACCACACAGCTCTAAGGAGGCCCTAGGCCAGGTGGGGACTACATTACATGTCTTCCCTGCCTTTTTTAAGAAGCCTCAAGGCACTCATGAGCTGAAATCACACAAAACTTACGAGGTCAAGCTCTCTAACATGCCTCCCACACGAGAAGACCCCGCTCCTCTTGCACCTAGGCCTTCTCACCATAGGGCTCTATCCAGTCTCCTCCTGAATTCAAAGTCACAAAAGAACCATTTGCTTTTTCAGTTCTACTCGATCACAAGGTGAAGCTCTAGATCTGTCTGTCCTCTGGCACTCTGGTGGTACCCTGCTGTTGTGGGGAAGGTGTTAGGAGGGTTTCACCTTAATCTCATCTGCAGGAGGGAATTGCTGCCCATGAGGTTTAATTAAGCACCTGGGAAGGATATAAAAAAGCCCAAGAGGACAGAAACCCATACCCAGGAAAGGTGACCCTCCTTTCTTTCTGTGTTGAGCTGAGGATTTCCCAACAGAGAAGACAGAGCAAGGACTTACGGGTTCAGGAAGAAGGCCTGGACCCTCCCCCAAACCCATCCCTAGAAGGAAGAGCACTGAGTCAGAAGCTAGTGTTTTGTTTCCATCAGCCATTTTACGAATTTCCCTTAGGCTACAGAAGTTCTAAGCCCTCCATTAGCTGATTTCATCGCAGGCAGACAGGTGAGCAGAACGGTGTGTGACCCTTTGTCAAATAAGGCAGTGGAATAAGGGCTGACCCCTGGAGGATTCACTCAGACTGTTACTCCATGACAGTGAATGCTTCCTGGCACAGATGATGCAAGCCTATTGACCGCAGGTTTGCATCATGAGAACAGCAACTGTTTCTTATCCATTAGGAAAAAGAAGCCAGATTTCCCCCTGGGGGGTATCCAGGCCACGGCTATACAAAGAAATCTTCCTTACATTTTGAACACTCAAAGTGGGATTCCGAAGATCATGATACAAAACATGCAGCTAAGAAAGCTCCAGATGGTCCAGAAGCATCTCCAGGTGGTCAGATCACACGGCAAACATTGCTTTTGGTGTCAAAACCTGGAGCAGATTAGTATCACAATTATTCCTATTTTATCCTGAGATCTTCCAAGATTCTCTTGACTTGTACACCAACTTCCAGCCAAACATGACTAAGGGCCTAATGGTACCTAATTGGGAAAATCAAAAACACACCAACAGAACCAGGATCCACACTGACGAGCAAAGGCTAGAGCAGCAAGCCAACGCTGAAAGCTCTCTTCCAATGGACACCTAGTGAGGGTCAGTGTAATATATTTGTTCTGCAGGCTCAGACCCCAACAGAGAGGCATAAAATGTCTTCTCAAGCTCAGGCTGCATTTGGAGAGGACAATAAAAGGAGGGAGAGGAAGGCAAAGTGGAGAAGTTTCCATCCAGATTTCCAAGGAGACCTCCTCAGGTGAAGAAAGGCTCAGACAAAAAGCAAAAACCAATGAATGGATGTCAGGAAGGTATGAGGAATTATCAGTTTTCTGTTCTTTGCAAATTTAAATGAGAAGGGTAAGGGTCCTGAGTCCCACATCAAGGCAGCCAGGGCAATGAAGCTCTTTTCTGTGATCTTGGCATCATAACAGCAGGTACTATCTCCATCCCTCTGCGCTCCCAGTAGACAGACTGCAGGGAAAGGCACATCACAGAAGCATTGCCCTGGGGTGGGTGGGCTTCCTGAACCAGAGACAGAGGTCCTCAAGGATGACCATGGGAATACAGTGTCCCTGAATTTAAAGCTCCAGTGACAGAACAGAGTCCCTGACCAGCTGCTGGACACTGAAGAAGACTGCCGGGCTATGCGCTCAGGAGAGCGCCTGCTGCTCCCACACCTCATGGTGACAGCACAGGGCTGGTGGTCACAGAAGGGCTCAGTAGAAACGCTTTCGGCTCTGTTCCTGCCACTTGTTATAGAGTATGATCCCAATGACAATGGCAAATACAGAAAATACCAGAGAGAAGAAGACGATGAGGAAGAGGGCCAAGCCACTCAGGGGTGGCAGAGGGGCTGTCACTGAGGAAGTGAAAGAGAAGAAAGTCAGCACCAGGGAGCCTACCCTACTGGGAAAGACCACCCAACAAGCTATTAATGCCCCAGGACCTGATGCCCATTTCTGGGAGCCAGAGCTCACTCTCCCTTTCCAGATGCTTTAATCTAAAATGAAGCAGCTGCTCATCTGTAACCTGGAGGCAGTGCTCCATATTGGGCAGAGGAAGGACAGAGAGGAGATGGTCCTGCGAGGTGAGGGTTGCAGGTCCCTCAGCCCACCCCCAGTATTGCGATTCCTCTCCCACCACGGGCTGCTTCCCAGGGTCCCTGTGCTCACTCTCGGGCAGCTTCATGTTGTCCACCGAGGGTAAGAACACATCTCGATGCAGCTTCTCCTCTTCTGGGGTTCTCTCCACTGTCAATTCAAATAGCTTCAGGGAAATAATGTCATGGTTGTCTAAAGAAAAAAAAAACATGGATTGCTCAAGCCCTCTCAAAAAGAGGTATCTTGGAGTATCTGGGCTCAAGCCTCTGATTCACACCTAAATAGCAACAACCTTGAAAGAATAATTGTGGCCTGTTTTCTCATCTAATAAAAATAAGGAACAGGAATATTCTATATTATTCCATATTGAAAGCTTTTATTAACAAGCATTACCTACATAATTTACAAATTTAGAGATAATACAAGAATGAATTCCTCCATGATACATAAAATGTTCCAGAATAGTAAGAGGAGAACCAGCAGCACTGAGCTTCCCTTTGATGGAAACGACACACTTGCAAGACAGGAAAGGGCCTCCCGGTGGCAGCAGTTTGATGGCTGCTTGCAGGGCTCAGCTGTGGCACGTAACAAAACGTTTCCCTTCCTGACTGGGCCTAATGCTTTGTGGCTCTTTGTAACTATGACTATGTATACCACAAATCTCCATGCCATAGAGCTAGCTCATGGCTACTTGGTTGGTTATCAGGGACTGGATTTCTTGCCATTTCTATTACTAGGATGGCATCTACACCTGCCTGGACTCAGAATCTTTAGAGAATCCCTAGATAGAAAAATCTAGATTTGCTTTCAATTAGATATTTTCACTGCTAGGGCTGAGTTTGACCCATGGACAGAATAAAAAGCCAGGGCAACACTCCTCACAACGTGGGGCACCAAAGGCTGGGACATCTGGAACATGTCCCAACTTTCTCAGCATGTTCAATAATCTGCTGCATTAATGGTAAGAAAATATCAACAAGAAAGACCTTAAGAGGATGACACAGTTTCTATTGAGGGACAACCTATGGGCAGAGAACACAGACCTACTAACCTAGGCATTACCACCCAAAACCTTGAGCAAAGGACGCCTTAGGACAAACAAAAATTGACTATATTCTCTTTGATCATTTCTAACAGTTGAGAACAACTTCCCATTGAAAAGTACAATAGGCAGTTAACCGACAGGCCCTAGAAACCTATAAATTCAAAGGAAAATTCAAAGTAGACAAGGACACCGCTTTCAACTTGAGTCATGTAACAAGATTGCATAGCAAAGATCTAAAGCTTGTGCCTCCTGTCCCTGAGCCAAGGTGAGCTCTGTCCCACAGCTGCAGCCTGTCTCATAGTAGTTAGAGCCTGGCTACCAAAGCAGAAGGTGAGGGGAGAACGCTGCAAAGGGACACAGGGAACGTCTTGAAGTGACAGAAACACTCTCTGTAGCTTGACTGTGGAGGTGAGGACATAGGTGTAAATATTTGTCAAAACACTTCAAACTATGTACTTCTATTCTGTGGAAAATATATCTCAATAAAGTTGAGTTTTAAAAAAGCCAGAATTTGACTTCCGGCCAAGATGGAGGCACAGGTGAACGCACTGTAGCTCCATGCACAACCAAGACTGGAACAACAACAATTTAGAGGCAGAACAACACCCAGAACTGACAGAGAATTTATCTGAATGGAAGTCAGACAGCCAAGAAGTTGAAGTAGATCCGTTCATCCAGACCGGTAGGAGGGGCAGAGACAAGCAGCCAGGCTCAGGTCGCGGCGAGAGCAGAGAGAGTTGGGCGCTTAAGGCAACCGGGGGCATGCAGGTAGGATCGCAGCGGGTGGACCCTGAGTACACAAGTGGCAGCTGGCAGATCCAGTGAGGCGGCGATTGTGGAGCAGGGCAGAGCATGCAACCCAAGGGACTGAGGTCCCATGGAGAACAGAGCTACTGCCATTGTTCCTTCCCAACCCCACCCCCACATACAACATCACAATCTAGTGACTGGGGTGCCCAGCCCTGGTAAACACCTAAGGCTCCGCCCCTCACCGTAACAGGAGCGACCAGACCCAAAAAAGAGAGAGAGAGAGAGAGAGAGAGAGATGGCTCAAACAGAAGAACAAATCAATGCCCCAGGACTCATCCTTTTAAGCAACCGAGAGATAGCCAATCTATCAGATGCACAGTTCAAAACACGGGTGATCAGGAAGCTCACAGAATTGGTTGATTTTGGGTGCAAATTAGATGAACAAATGCAGGTTACCATAGAAGAAATGAAGGAAAATGCACAGGAAACCAATAGTGATGGGAAGGAAGCTGGGACTCAAAACAATGGAGTGGACCAGAAGGAAGAAAGAAACAACCAAACAGGAAAGAATGGAGAAATAAAAATTCAAAAAAAACGAGGTGAAGCTTAGGAACCTCCAGGACATCTTTAAACGTTCCAACATCCAAATCATAGGGGTACCAGAAGGGGAAGAGGAAAAGTAACAGATTGAACACGTATTTGAACAAATAATAAAGGAGAACTTCCCCATTCTGGCAAAGGAAATAGACTTCCAGGAAGTCCAGGAAGCTCAGAGAGTCCCAAAGAAGTTGGACCCAAGAAGAAACACACCAAGGCACATCATAATTACATTAGCCAAGGTAAAAATGAAGGAGAGAATCCTAGAAGCAGCAAGAGATAAGGGGATAGTAAGTACAAAGGAGTTCCCATCAGACTGTCAGCTGATTTCTCCAAAGAGACCTTGCAGGCAAGAAGGAGCTGGAAAGAAGTATTCCAAGTCATGAAAGACAAGGACCTATATCCCAGATTACTCTATCCAGCAAAGCTTTCACTTAGAATGGAAGGGCAGATAAAGTGCTTCTCAGATAAGGTCAAGTTAAAGGAGTTCATTATCACCAAGCCCTTATTTTATGAAATGTTAAAGGGACTTATCTAAGAAAAGAAGATTAAAAAAAAACATGTATAGTAAAAGGACAGCAAACTCACAATTATTAACAACCACACCTAAAGCAAAACAAAAAGAAACTAAGCAAACAACTAGGACAGGAACAGAACCACAGAAATGGAGATCACATGGAGGGTTAGCAACAGGGGAGTGGGAGGAGGAGAGAGGGGGAAAAGGTATAGAGAATAAGTAGCATAGATTGTAGGTTGAAAATAGATAGGGGGAGGGTAAGAACAGTATGAGAAATGTAGAAGCTAAAGAACTGATAAGTATGATACATGGACATGAACTAAAGGGGGGGATGTGGGTGGGAGAACAGGGTGTACAGGGTGTACAGGGTGGAGGGGAGTAAAGGGGGAAATGGGACAACTGTAATAGCATAATCAATAAAATATATTTTTAAAAAGCCAGAATTTAAAAAATTAGATTTCATTTTAGAGATCCAAGTTCCCAGTTTCTCTTAAAAAACTAAAGCATGGTCTGACTGAGCCCACATTTTCTCTTGGCAGTGATGGCTGGAACCGAGCAGCTGCTGCCCATTCCCATGAATGTTTGCCTTTCCTTTCTGCCAGAAGAAAATTCTGTGTCCTATTAGCTTTATTCGTAATAAATTATGGATTTAAAAAAACCTGTGCGTTCAGTTCTTTACCTCTTCTCAAATAATGTTATGATTGGGGCTAAAGCCAAGGGGGAGAAGAAGCAAATAGAGAGAAGCCATAAATCGAGCCCTGACCCATGTGGCTCAGTTGGTTGGGTGTCATCCCACAAAGTGAAAGGTTGGCGGGTTCCATTCCTGGTCAGGGCACATACCTGGGTTGCAAGTTCAGTGCACTCCGTCGGGGCATGTATAAGAAGCAACTGATAGAGTTTCTCTCTCTCTCTTTCTCCCTTCCCCATTCTTTTTTTTTTTTTTTTAAAGATTTTGTTTACTTTTAGACAGAGGGGAAGGGAGGGAGAAAAGGAGGGAGAGAAACATCAACATGTGGCTGCCTCTCGTGCACCCCCCACTGGGGACTGGGCTAGCAACCTAGGCACGTGCACCAACTAGGAATTAAACCAGCGACCCTTTAATTTGCAGGCCAGTGCTCAATCCACTGAGCCACACACCAGCCAGGGCTCTTCCCCATTCTTTAAAAAATAAATAAATAATTTAAAAAGGGGAGAAGCCACAAATCTGGACAAGGAGAAAGAAAGTCCTAAAGAGCAGGGAAAGGAAAAGCAGCAGGTATTGTCAGTGCCGCAAATGTCATGGCAGGTAAGACCCTCAAGGCAAATGGTCAAAGGAGCTAAAGAGCCCTGGCTGGTGTGGCCCAGTTGGTTGAAACATTGTCCCATAGACAGAAAGGTCACGGGTTTGATTCCTGGTTAGGACACATACATGCCTGGGTTGTGGGTTGGCCCTGGATGGGATGCGTATAACAGGCAACCAATTAATGTTTCTCTCTCACATCAATGCTTCTCTTCCTCACTCCCTCCCTTCTCTCACTAAAGAAAAATAAAAGACCTGAAGAGGAAACAGAGCAAGGACTGAGAACAGAGTGCCACACACGGCCTGGACACAGAAGTAACTTCCACTAGAAGAGTGTTTACATCACGGCAGAGACACAGATCCAGGGCAACATGTTCAGAGGGGGATGGCTGGAAACAGGAGCATCTCCACATGTGACAGTCACAAGTCTGGCCATAAAGGAGGGCCTCAGTATCAGTTGGAAGAGGGATGGCAGAGCTGTGGGGAAGCCCTGTTAAGAGAAGGGAAACTGAGTATATTAGGAGGGGAAAGAGAGGAAGTGGACTAGAAAGATGGCACCAGAAACAGGAAAGTACAGACCTTAAAACACAAGCTGGAGAGGTGGCTCCACAAAGAGGCAAACTACTTTTCCATAGCTCTATCTCCTGGGACAGCTGTTTGAAGACAACCTAAGCCTGGGGTCTTAAGGAATCTGGGCATGGGAATGCAGGAAGATAAACACTTTTAGGGTATCTGTTTCCCAGAGTTCTGTTTGTCTCTCTCTTCTGAGAAGCCTCACCATCACTAAGGCCTGGCTACCAAGATGTGACTTCAGTTGGGGCAAATAAGAAGTGCATGTGGCAATACCTGAAAGATCCCCCGTGATGGAGGAGGTGCCAAAGTAGTAACCCCGGGGCAGGCGGACCCCTGGCACTTCAATGCAGTCCCTCCACTCATGCTTGCCATCGATGTCCATCATTATCTAAAATAAAAAGGAGAGAAATCAGGGCCAGGCCATGGGAGTAGGAACCAGACAGCCATATTGCTCCAGAACAGAGACTCACCGTCAAATGCCTCTTGACATAGCGAATCACAAGGAAGGTGTCATAATGGAGATTTCGGACAATGGCTGTACAGCCCCCCAGCTCTGTTGGCCTCCCATCCCGCTCATGATCATAGCTGAGGGAGCCATTGTTCACCATGGCTGAGATGTAGGGGAACACCCGCTAGGAAAGTAGGGAAGGAGAAGCAGAGGACAGTAAGGAAGTGCTCCTAGGAATGCCTGCGCACATCGTTAACAATCCACGAGAACCCACACTCAAAACCATATGGCCCAGTAAGCGACTGAACTCTGTACTTGACTTCAGGAATCCTCTTCTAAGGCTCTGGAGTCTGACTCTCAATCTCTTCCCAGAGATAAACATTCTGCACGGGTATTCTGCCTCAGACTAGTGGCTTTCTTTTTATGTGTATGTACCTATCTACCCACTGCCATGTCAACTTCTTGAATAAAATAATTTATTATGCTCCTTTACATGTCTCCACCTAGGCCCATATCCCCCGCGCCACCCCGGCCCCTGCCACCCCAGAGTAAGCGTTTTGCACACAACAGGTATTCTGAAAATACCTGTTTGATCAGGGAAATCTTTCCATTCAGGATAGCTCCTTTTAAATTCTAAATCCTATGAGCACATAATGCTGAATGGATTAAGACTCAGAAAGAGCACTGCCAGAACCAGGCTTCTGGATGGTGTTCTCCAGCCAAGATGACTGTTCTTAGCCAAAAAAACTTCCAGCCCATTTAAGCTTTAGTCACACACAACTTCTCCCAATAATACACAGGGCAAAGTTCTCCCACTGCAGGTTTCCCCAAATCCCACCCATTTCCCCACCTACTTCAGAGGCCCTCTCTCCAACAGAGTTGTAGGAGCAAATTTTTCCTTAGAAATGATAAGCTAACCATTCCAGAGCAAGCCCAGTGCTAGGCAGTGTAGATGAAGGGAGAGGTCACATGACACATGCCACTCAATGAATTCCACACTGTCCCCAACAGTCAACATGCACAGAGAAGCTGCACTCAAAATCAGAGACTCGTGACTCTTGAATCAGTAGCCACATGGATACTTAACAGTAGCAAATGTTGGATGAACACAGGGAATAAAGGGTGGCCATAGTGGATCAAAAACTGAGTACCTGGACTCCTGGAGAGTATCGCCTCTTCTGGGCCTGAGGGAGTCCAACAGGTTTAAAAATGAGAGGGCACAGAAGACGGGAGACCAAGTCAGAAAGAAACAGCCATGGAAGAGCCAAGACCCAGCTGTGGTGGATAAGCAAACCAATCTAAACCTCAAACAGAAATTTAGGGTCTATGAAGGGCATTCAAGTCCTTACGCCCCTAAATATTATAGGCAAAACTATATACACTGGTGCTTGTACATTTCCTGAGGGAGGATGTGTTACTATCACCAGATTTCCAGAGGTCCTCTAGGAAAACCTCTCTAAGGTCCTGAAGCTTTCAGAAGCTTTATGAAACACACAGCATTTCATCATCCAAACAGTCCCCACTTATGTCTCTGAGAGTCAGGAGATCAGGCCACAGGTTTGTACCCAGACAGCAATATTTCTATTGCAAAGAGAGAGACAAAAATGACAAATAGGGCTGAGTTCTTCCAAAGTGAAGACGTCCTTTGCCCTGACTGGTGTGGCTCAGTGGGGTGGGCATCATCCTGCAAATCAAAAGGTCGCTGGTTCGATTCCCAGTCAGGGCACATGCCTGGGTTGCAGACCAGGTCCCGAGTTGGGGGTGTGCAAGAGGCAATGGATCGATGTTTCTCTTGCACATTGTCTCTCTCCCTCTCTTTCTCCCTCCCATCCCCCCTCTATAAAAATAAAATCTAAAAAATAAAAATAAAAAAGTAAAAAGATGTCCTTTACTGTGCAGGGTCTCAGAATACTGCTAATGCCTGGAATGTATACAGCCCAGGAGTGGACAGACTGTGAAATTAACACTAATCCTAAAAGATCGTTTACCCTCTAGTTGGGCCTACGGACATATATTTCCAAATAGCTATTGTCACTCTAACCTACATGTGGGCAAGGACAAGCTCCACAAGAACGTTGCAACATGACAAATAGCTCAAGGGTATTTAGTTTTGCTCCAGAAAACTGCTACAGTTCTAGCACCAAGAGATACCAATGAAGGGTCAGCACAGTCCTGCCCTGAAGTAAAGGTGCATGAGGGTGCATGAGGAGTGCACGGCCCAAAGCACTCCTTCCTCTAATGCTTCCTGAGCACCTATTACCAGCCAGGCAGTATTCCAGATGCTTTAAGTTTGATGGGAAACAACATAGACAGGTACCTGCTCTCATGGAGCTGACAACAGAGTGGAAGAGACAAATGATAATAACATTTCAGACAGTGATAAATACTATGATGAATACTATGATGAAGAGGTGACACAACAGAGATTGATTAGGAGTCAACATCTAAGCTGAGACCAAGAGAGTTAGTTAGAGGGAGTCCCCCAAAAGCAACATGAGTTTGGCACATTCGTAGAAGACATGGGTGTCTGAAACTAAGCTAGTGAGGAAGAGGCTGGTGTGAGCTGAGGCAGAAGCCAGATCCCACTGGGCTCTAGAGGCCACAGTAGGGAGTTCAGGGTGGGCCTCAGAGCAGCTCCCAGCTGTTTTCCTTCAGGCTTCTGGTGGAATACATACAGGGCTACGGCAATAGATTAAATGAATCAGGGAATGATCAAACTGCCAAAAAACTACTCTTCTACAACTACATCTAGGATAGCTATTTTAAACCACTGTGCTGCAAGAATTTTAAAAATATGCAATACCTGACTATTGAGTCAGCAGCACTGACCTCTTCTTCCTTAGATTGTCAAATAAGAAAAATGACAACAGCCAACACAACAGCAGCCATCCGGTATGAATAAATCAAACTTATACCTGTTTTTTTTGGTCAGGTCAGCAAAAAATACATTTTTTGGTGTGCAGTAGAATTTTAGCAATTAGTTTACATGTGCCATGAGATGAATAATGTTGAAATTTGCTGATCTAGAAGAACAGATTTGTGAGTGTGCTTATCAAACATTTTACAGAAATGGGCTTGACGAGAAAGCTTCTAACTTCAGTGGCCAGTCAGGAAAAGGAAAGAATTAAAAATGCCCTGGGGAGTTCTGATGATCCCAAGGTTTGCTTCATGTACCAACTCAAGGAAGTGCCTAAGAGAACCATCCTTAACCTAAAGGGGCCTTATTCTTTCCAAGGCTGGTGTGGCATCCAGCTATGCAGTCAGAGGCAACTTGGTCCTCAGGATCGCCTGGGGGAGCTTTTTGGCTGCACGTACATGTGTGTCCCTCAGTCACATAATCTCATTCAGTAGGTTGAGAGTAGGGAACAGGTTTATTTTTTAAAAAGCAGCGCAGACAGCCAAATTTAAGAAACACTGCACTAGACAGAGCCCCACAGCTTTAGAGCTAAAATCTGTCTCCTTCAGCAACTCATGACTTAGCTTCCAACTTTGCCCTTCATACTATTAGTAATTATTTAAATGCATCTTATTTCCTATGCCCAGGTAGGAGATCATGAAGTGTTTCTAAGGCACCCACTAATATCACACAGAGGCAATTTCCTTTCCTTGGAAGGCAGCCTATATGCAGCTAGAACGGAACACTGAAGAATCACACTGACTCAGGCAAAGGCGGCAGTTTCATTCCTAACCCAAGAGTCACCAAAAAATGAGGAACTCCTGCTATTGTACAAATAGCTCTCTATAGGGTGGAGAAATGCTTTCTCATTTTTGTACTGCAAGGCCACTTAAAAAAAAGTTCTCTAAACATCATTGTACCTTCAGCATATCTTGATTGAAAGGAGACCCGTGAACTTGGGGATTTATGAACCATTACTAAAATTCCACAGCACATGAGCTGTGAACAATGAAGAGAAAAAAGCAAACATGGCCTCTGTCACCAGGGAGAGCTGGGTTCCAACTGCGGTCAGATAGACCACTCCTGGCTCCATAAACTTGGGTGAACGCCATCATCTCTGAGATTCTATCTCCTCAGTAGAAGCAGGGAAAATAATGCACAGCTCACAGGGTTAGTTATGAAGATGAAATGAGACATAAAAAGCATCTGGTACAGTGTCTCACATTCAGGAGAGTGTCAAAAAATGTTCATTCAATCTATAACTAAATTAATGAATTTCTAGATAGAAACCCTGTTCACAGGTGCTCGTATATAAGCACAAAGCCAAACACACATCGTTTAGAACAGTAATTCCCAAACCACTGGCTTGTCATGGGCCAGTAAAATCTCCAAAAATATTTTGGGGGTTAATGGGTTTGTCTTTGTTACTTTTCTGACCTATTAAAAACAATAATGACAAAATAAGCAACCATCTTTATAAACATCAATTTTTTATGAACATCATTTTTTTACTTCTTTTTTTTATTATTATTTTTTTAATCATTGAAAAATATGGAACGCTTCATGAATTTGCATGTCTTCCTTGCGCAGGGGCCATGCTAATCTTCTCTGTATCGTTCCAATTTTAGTATATGTGCTGCCGAAGTGAGCACATGAACATCATTTTTAAAAGAACATTTTAATACCCCAAAAAGAAATATACAATGTCATAATAAAACATTTAGCATCTTTCCCTTATCCAGATTAAGGGAAAGACAGATTTAACAGCTGAATGCAACATCGCATCTGGGATCTTCTTGTCCCTTAAAGAACACACTTGAACAACTGTTGAAATCTGAATAAATTCAGTAGATTAGGTAATAGTATTGATATCAATATTAAGTTCCTGATTTTATCACTGTGCTATGGTTATATAAGAGAATTCCTTGTGTTTAGGAAAAACAAGTGAAGTATTTAGGATTAAGAGAATATCATGAAACCAATTTACTCCTGAGTATTGGTATAGTTCAGAAATATGTACAGACAGAGACCAACAGACACACACAGAAGTTAAAGAAAAGGCAAAGCAAATGTAGTAAGAAATTAACATTTTGGGGAATCTGGGTAAAGAGCACTCCTAATTCTTTGTTGTATTATAACCTCTGTAAGTATGAAATTATGTCAAAATTTTTAGAAGATTAATGTGAATCTAGTATTTGCCATATTCTCAATTTTTCTATGTATCAAAAAAGTTTTAAATGAAAGTTCATGTGATGCAATGTCTTATTTTTTAAAAGGTTTTGTACATTTTGCTTTTGTTTTAGCCTTTTCTGATTTTTCTATAGTGAGCTTTTATATAAAAATAAGAACAAACAAATGCCTCTTCTATAGCATCTCCTTTCATGCCTCCATGTGACCCTCCCCTTGGATCACTAGAGGAATACACTGTCACTTCTACAGACATTTTTCAGGCTTTTAAAACATTGTAAGTTGCTGGTCTTACAGCAATCTTCTCCCAATACCCTTTATGCAGGAATCTGGATACAAAGATGACAGGATAACTCAGCAATACCCCTCCTACAAGTTAGACCAGTGAGATTCTCACATTACTGAGCAGCATGAGAAGGCCCCTGCTCCCGCAGTCCCCAAACTACTGCTAACTTATCCTAGGAACTCTGTCCCTAAGTTTTAAAGCTCCTCAACTGAGGACACATGAAAGGGGTGAAACCAGCCAGCTGACTGCCTAGAAGACTTTCACATTCATGAACATTACCATTATCTCTTAAAACTCATGGGATGATTTTAATCCCATTTATTTTAGTTGTGACCCCACTAGAATAAACCCAAATTTGAGGACTTCAATAAAGAGTATTTTAAAATCAGAAAGCATTAAACTTGAGGTATGCCCAAATGCCAAATACTGAAGTTCATAATTTATCTACCCTGATTACAATTGCCAAGGTTCAGAATCCAGCCTAATATGTATACCTCCATTTTGCTGCTGCTCAACAGTCTGATAGTAGGTGAATACATCTTGTTAATGAGAAGATCTTGTCTACCTACAGTCCTACTTTGGGGAGTTCCTGAACCTCCTAAAATTGTATGTAAAATCCTCTGTGTACCTATATCTTTCAGTGAGCCAACCACTTTTGTCATATTCTTAAAAGGGTCAAAACCGAAAGGTAAAGAACTAACGCAGAGCTAAGCATGGGTTCTTGCTTTTTTTCTCCTTCCTCTTTCCCTCTTTCAGTCTCAGAAAAGAAACATTACATTTTCAACTTCTCTCAATTCTAGCAGAAAGCCATACAT